CATCATCAAACCTCAATCAGGAGATAGTTTACTTCAAACGGGGCATAGACAAGCTAGAGTGACAAGGCCTGTATATGAATATATTATGTAATTTTTTCCTTCTTCCTTATAAACTCATCAAGTGCTCACCAAAATGGACACTAAACAAATTATGCTCATGACAGTTGTACTTTAATATCTCCAGAACAACACCAAAAGTTTATCATGAGAAGTGCATGTCTTATTCCACCAAAGAACACAATATGGAAGTAAGTACCAGTTCATGAATAATGTGTCACGTTACCGAAACATCCAAACTGAAATGCCTATCTATATGACATTTTGTAAGTCCAGCTAAATCTTGTAGAATGTGTTTAATCCTTCGACGATATGTACACGTTTCTTATCGGGTAGGATGTCGACTAATCGATGATACCGTAAAAAATCCAGATGCTTAGCAGAACTGAGCATATGGGTCGTACGGAACACTACTGCTCCACTCACACACTGAGGCAGTGCTAACCAACATCATAATATTAAGGATTTCAAACATGAAAGCATTGCATATGTCAATTCAGTCGACCCGCCACCTCACAATTGGACCTTGTCACGAGCAAACAGTTCTTACTTTCATCACATAGAATATGATTTCATTTTCACTAAAAGTATGCACCTTGACATATGAAAGTTTCAGATTCGTCCGTTTTCATAAATCCCATCTTGATGAAATGTGCAGCGGTCATGGGTTAACACACATCATTTTCAAGTAAATTTATCCTCATACGCATCAGTTTCATTGTATATCTTATAAGACATGACCATTAATCCATAAAGAGTGTCGGACGGTAATTTCAATTTCTCGAGATTTACCATCCTATGCAAATTGCATCTTGAACTATGCTATCGCATTGTTGTCACTAGTGGATATCAGAAAGGTCATGCTTAAGAGATCTGTATCTTGAGATCTCATCAATATAATGATAATTAAATCTCATCATATTGCAGAACATGGTTCACATGAATGAATTAGAACACGAAATGTTATAAGGCTTTAAAAATACAATTCGTTATAAATCTTAAGGAAACTTTGATTTCCTCAGATTTGCCCAGTAACATGTCAATTTCTTCACATCGTTGCATTCTTCAGATCCTCTAGATCCACAAAAGAATGTATATTATCGGGCGATTTGAGGAGATATGGCTGATTTTTTGAACAAATCTGAAATAGCTGAGCGCCGATCGTTTCAATACATTGCATCACTATTGATCAATCTGTGCATCATTACAGCAACATCAGGGTCACCATCTTCAAGCTAACGGTACTCTCAGGTATTCTCAGTAACACAGCAATTTCT